CTGCAGACTGCGCATCTCGCGGCATTGCACCACAAGAGCTATCTATCACATCCATATGGGTGAACGGTCCGGATTTCCTTAAAGAGACTGAAATTGACTATAAGAGGCCAAGGCACCTGGTCACAAGCCTAGAACAAACTAAAGCACATACAGCAGTAGTTGACATTGACTGGTGGCAGAAGTTCTCTTCTTTAACTAAGCTTGTTCGTGTAGTTGCATATTGTCGAAGATTCTTGAACCTCAGGAAAAAATCAGCGACCAAACCTAGAAGTAGATTTTTAACAAGACAAGAAATTGATGTAGCAAGAGAGCTATGTATAAAGAAATGTCAAGAGGAAGGGTTGCATGAGGAGTTACAGGAACTGAAGGATAAAGGGTGTTTGGCTAAAGGAAAAAAGAAGATGAAGTCATTAAATCTATTTTTAGATGTTAAAGGTATAGTAAGAGTAGGCGGGAGACTAGAAATGTCTAAATTAAACTACAGTGAGAAACATCCGATTCTTATCCCCAAGGAATCGTTTTTAACTGATCTCTTGATTGCGGATGCACATCAAAAAACCATGCACGGTGGTCCACAACTCATGATCACGTATTTGCGATCGATGTATTGGATTGTGGGTGTCAAGGGATTGGTTAAGAAATATTTTCGGAAGTGTATCACATGTATTCGTTACTCAACCAGGGCTACAACTCAGCTTATGGGACAATTGCCTTCGTCACGAGTGACCCCAAATAAACCATTTTTAATAAGTGGCGTAGATTATGCCGGCCCTATAAGTATAAGAGTATCCAAGGGTAGGGGCAATAAATCATATAAGGGATACATAGCGCTGTTCATATGTATGTCGACACGAGCAGTGCATCTCGAGGCAGTCAGTGATCTGACTACACAGGGTTTTTTAGCTGCCTTTAGAAGATTCACCGCAAGGCGTGGACGGTGTGCTGAATTGTATAGCGATAATGCTACAAATTTTGTAGGAGCCTCACGCGAGTTACTCAGCCTATTTCATGAAGAAAAATCGGCCATGAGACAGGAACTGGCAGAGTATCTCGCGAACAACGGTACGCAGTGGCACTTTATTCCTCCTCGGGCGCCAAATTTCGGTGGATTATGGGAAGCAGGAATAAAGTCAACTAAATTCCACCTTAAAAGAGTAGTGGGGAACTCTACTTTGACGTATGAGGAACTGACTACAGTGTTGGCTCAGATTGAAGCTTGCCTCAATTCGAGACCCTTGTCTTATATGGAGGAACAAAATGAGTTAGTGCCTTTAACCCCCGGTCATTTTCTGGTGGGGGAACCACTTGTAGTAGTACCAGATGCCAATTACGAAACTGCAAATATATACAACTTACGGCGATGGCAACTCCACCAAAGAATGATGCAGGACTTTTGGCGACGTTGGTCGCAGGATTATCTTCATCAATTCCTCCAAAGACACAAGTGGGAATATCAGAACCCAGAACCTTCAGTTGGTGACGTAGTTTTGATAAAGGAGGATGACCTGCCTCCGGGTAGATGGTTGCTAGGTAAGATTGAACACAAACATCCAGGTCCAGATAACATCACACGTGTGGTTACAGTACGCACTAAGGGCGCTGTAGTTAAACGACCTACATCTAAGTTGTGTTTGTTGCCTATAACGAGTTAGGAGGTTTTTTTTGTGTAGTTAGTGTAGACGCATGGTGGGCGGATTGAAGGACATACTGCATAATGTCCTTGGTGGGCGGTATGTCCAGATAAACCACCAAATATTATTATAATTAAAGAAATGTACATAAGACATAGAAATGTAAGTTAACATAAGAGTCGTATAAGTCTAACGATAAGTTGTTGTTTGTTTTTGTTTAACGGCGAAACCGATAGATGGCGTTGTTAAGTAATGCTGAATCGCGATATGGTTTCGTTCACTACGGTACCATAAATAGTTTTAAGAATTGTTGTCAAGGCAAGAACCCGAACTGTTCTGGAAATACACATCTTGTTATTATTAACAGTGGTATTATTTCTCACCTACGGAATTCAAATTTCGTTCGGCCTCATCATAAATGGGCCATGGTAATACATTTAAAGCATACTTTTTATTTAGCGATACATTTTTTTTCGACATCCATATACAGCACGATATACTTTATCATTATCTATATTCTACTGTATCTTAATACTGATTTTCTGTCACCTTTTTAAATTTATTCATTATAAATACAACGTCCCCACATCAACCGTTATCCTTCGGTACGAATATGAATTTTTCAGGCTTATAATTTTTGTCTTTCAAAAGTCTTGAGTATGTTTACACCAATAATACGAGTAAATTAAAGATGCAATTTTATATCGATATAAGGTCACCTATGAAGTTGAAGATTTGTATGACAATTTTAAAATATAAAAATTTGGGTTATTTTTTTTATTTTGGCTAATACTGGCCCAAATTATCTATACATTTTTGCCATTTTGATTACAGTTTATTTATCCCTTTACTATAGAAGTCTGCCGGGCAGAAGGCGATGAAGTCAGCGAAAGCCTTTTGTACGGCCTCTCGGAGGTCAATTTTTTTCCGGCTTAAAAAATTGACTAAATTTTTAAAAAAATAAGAAATCTGTTGGGGTAAGGTCTTATGAGTACGGTGGGTGATGACGGATTGCTTCCAGCTGTAACTCTTGTAGCTTTAGTTTAGAAGAAATGGGAAAGAGCGATTGACCAGTGTGGTTGTGGAATTGCGAGCTGCAACATAGTTGTTTGCGATTCTTGGCAATAGATATCTGCCATCACTGTTGTTCCATTTGGTAAGAAGCTATCCACCAGACAGTCACCATCATCTTCCTATGGGTAATCTTTTTTTTAGCGCACCGATTAGGTGCTGTACCCGGGTCCACCCACTGAGACGAACGCTTACGGTTGTCGTACAGGATCCCCTTTTCATCGCAGGAATTCCCTCATTTATAGTTGCTGATTTAGATTTAGTGATATTAGTGCTATGCATGCTTCAACGCCGTAGTCTCGCTGATGGTCGCTTAGTTCGTGTGGCACCCACTTTTCATGCTTTTTTATCTTTCCGATTTGACGCAAGTGCTTCAATGTTGTTTTGACCATTGACAAAGCTCGCAGCTACCTCAGCCGTAGATTGAGTTGGATCCGCTTTCCCGATCTAAAACGATTGAACCAATAATGGACCGTCTTTATGCAAGTAGTGTAGTAGGCCCGTATACGTCGTTAATGTTTCGTGGTGTTTGCGCAGCGGTATGTCCATGTAGGAACTCATATTCGAAAATTGGTAAATATGGTATATACCCTGGTTGGATGGTCCCTCTAACTGATGATACCATAACAAATGGTATCCACAGTGAGAGGGACCATCTGAATTTTTTAAAAGCGTATAATGATAATATGTAAATAAATTGAAAATATTGTTACCATCGCCACTTAACAAAGCAATATATACGTGGCTTCTTTTGTTAAAAGTTTTTTAAATGTTTTAGATACATGTTAATTGACAAACAGTCATATCTACACGTTCAAATGATGTGCCCCGTTAAAACTTTTTAGAAAGTTTTATATCATAAAACTTGAAAATGAAATATTTTTTGTTCGTTTTAGGTTATCTTATGCAAGCAATGTGTCATCATCATCAACAGCCTTTAACAGTCCACTGCTGGACATAAGCCTCTCCTTAGAAAAGAGGTATATAAAGGTATATGTAGGTATATAAAGACCATAATGCAATGGCTTTTAATTTGTTTAGTATCTCAATGGTCAATTTCTTATTTTTATACTTTTCTAAAAATCCGGTGTAAATAAAACGCCAAGAAACATTGTATTGCACATAACTGTTTTTTTTTTTCGTGCGGAAATCCCCTCGGATACCACCTATCGGTGGCATGTCGGACTCGAACCGACTAAAACCGCACGCCGTCTCGGGTACTAATAGCCGGGGAACCAGGTATACCCGTAGCCTTGGCTGCTGTACAGCTGTAGTTATATTATGGCCTAACCAGCCGTACTTTCCTTTCAAACGCTATTTGTTATATAAATATCGTCTGATATTTATACAGACGCAATTGGATTTGACACTGGGTCATAAACTAGGAGAGAACAATAAAATTCAGAAAAGTTTGAAAGCCGTTAATTTAGTAGTTTACGATTCTCCTTATAACATAGGAAATTTCTTTAGTAATTAATCACTTAGTTTTTCAGATAGATGGATAGAAATTTAAAATTATTATGAAAGACATAACAATAAGATATACTGGTTAATTAAGTTAAGCAACGATGTAAACGTATACCCCCTCCTTTTTTTGAAACAATGCTTTAAAGCCGTGGGGAAATCTATCAAAGATCTCGTTAATTAGTAATTTGAGTCAAACATGTATCTTCCTCCGAGATATTTTCCCAAAATAGATTAGAGTCGGCTTTCAAGTCTACTAAGATACGGCTGAACTTCAATTTTTGCCGCAGAGTGACCGCCATCAGACCTGGGGAGGTCCTAAAATAGTCAACTATAAAAAATCCAGTTCCTTGTTTTGTCTGTGCCCCCACCTATCTATCCTTCTGTCAGTCTGTCCGTGTTACTAACCGATTATGTTTTAATTAGTTTGTTAACTATAAAATATTGTTGAACTAACTAACATTAATAATTGTGGGACTGCTGATAACAATAAGTTTCAGTATAAAGCTTTAAGGATAATATGGCAATAAAATATTAGTAATTGCGTCATATTACAACCGCACACACGTATTGATCAGACATACAGAACTCTGGTTTATTGTATTATTCAAAAGTTCTATGTAGTACGGACTAGTGTTTATTGCAATATATAGTGTCTGAAAATTATCTGAGAAATTAAATTACGGAAATATTTTAATTTGAATTAGAAGAACTTTAAAAGTTATTAGAATTGGAACTTTAAATGTGTGCACTTTAGGCGTCACCATGATCTAAAATGGTCTTGGTCACATGAATTCATACCTACCTGACTTAATGTTTCGAACAACGATCAAGATGGAGTTGTTTTATGTTGTGTTCTTTATTTGTTCCTTTTCATATGTGCAATGCGACATTTGCGGTAAGTGAAATCTCAACTTTTTCATGTATTAGTTTTTTGTCAACTTTTTTAAACATTAACTGCTATTACTGAAATTCCTTCTTAGTATCGTGTAATTTATTACAATTTTCTAATACAAAATATTGAGTAGAGAGGTCAGACAACCAAAAAATCTATATAGACTATCCACAAATCTATATTAACTATAAATGTATATCGCATTTACCAAAAAGTATATAGGTATATTTACCAAAAACTCGCAAAATTGAATTAAATATAATTCTGAAATAGAAATAGATACGTTTCCGATTTAAATTAAAGTGTATCTAGAAATTAAATCCAGCACTTGAATTACAATTTATTGTGGATTAAAAAATATGACTTAAATGCTAATAAGTTAATTTTCTTTAAACTGACTCTATCCATTTACTGTGTTTTACTTTTCAGATAATTCAAATCGGATTGTATTAGAGAAATATGAAGTTTATCTAATTGGATTTTCCATGTTAATAATGTTCCTAACTACAATTTGCCTATCAATCGCATTGTATTTGATTAGGAATAATATAACTATATTTGGAATAAACATCAACAAAAAACCTATCTACATTAGGCAAGAATCAACGCAAGGAGTTTCAGTGCGTAGTTATACTAATACTGTTAACGACTTACCCAGAAACGACAGTACACTCACAGTAAATAGTGGCATAGTAGAAATCAGTGGATTAACGGAACCTGAAACACCAATACGTCTTGAACCCAAAGATGAAAAGAAAGTTCCATGTATTAAAAAGCCTTTAATGCCAATAATACCAACTATGCAAAAAGCACAAATGGATGATATAATAAAACAAGTTTTATTAAGTAAACGTTCAGAACGTGGCTCAACAACCCTAAGGGAGCTAGATGCTTTTACAAACCAAAGAACTACCGAAATAGATGAAAAAGGAAGTACTTTTAATGACGCTTCCGCAAATTCGAACGCTTTCGATGCGATAACTAATGACAATTATGATGATGAATTGTTGTATGTAAATCTACCTTCAAAACCAAAAAGTCCCTCAAATTCACGTGAACTTAAAAAAGCAGGTACGAGCCCTCTGAAAGAAGGAGATTTAGTGGACGGATTTGCCAATGAAACCCATGTAAAAATTACAGATGATAATGATGTTTATGATATGTTACCTAATCAAGTAAGATGTGTTGAAGAAAGTTCGGACTATGATAACATCAAAAGTGCACCTGTGTATGATACTCCTCCAAGAACAAGTTGGGACAAAGGTGAAAGCAATGACGCAATTTTAGACCAAGATACAAATTATCTACTACTCTTATCTAAGAACAGACATGATGACGTAACGAGTTACATCAACGCCAGACATCGTAATACACCTTAGATAGAACTAATTAAATATTTGAATGTTGCTGAATAAAAAAGAGCCTGGTGGAAGGTCTTTATAATAATTGTAATTATCGGAATATAGAGTTCCGAGGATTGTTGTCAGAAAGGATAAGTCTTCAGACATCTATTGATAACTTCAATCTTGAAGATGGAGACCATCTAGAGCGTCTACATCAAAACCATGTTTCGAAATATAAGTGTATATCTAGTAATACTAATAATATATTTAACTGTTTATCTAAATAAAAGCCAACAACAAATAAATGAAGTTAATGAATATACAAGTTAGGCAACTTATGAGCTGTGTGTTTTTATGATGTCTACAGTTTACTCCACGCTTTCTGATAAAGAGAACCTAACGCAGACTCCCGTTTTAAAAGCTATCAAGCTGTCGTATTTGATAAAAAATTTAACATTATCATAGGCAAGTGTTTTTAATAAGATAAAAGTTTGAGTTAATTTCTATTCATATTTAAATATGAACACTAGCCACCAAAGTTTCTATTCAGTAATTATTCTAAAAATAAAAGCACCTAAACTAAACTAAAAAAAAAGCATGTGCATGTAAATCATTGTGTTATAATTGTGTTTTTGCTATCTCTTCTTGTAATTATTGTCCATAATATACAATAAATTATAACTAACTATGTACAATGACAAATATCATATGTATTATATTACAATTTATCTGTTTTTGTTCGTGTAGCTATAAATAAATATAATAAGGATAAATTTACAATAAAGTAACCAGTAAGTCCTCCGTTTTTTAAATGCGATCATGTTCACACATAATTTCTATTTATCAAATCGAGTTCAAACCTAACGTGTGTATCTATTCATACCATGTACCTTTTTTTTTCTGTGCGGAAATCCCCTCGGATACCCACCGGTGGTTATGTCGGACTCGAACCGACCAAAAACCGCACACCGTCTCGGGTACCAGTTGCCGGGGAACCAGGTGTACCCTAGGAAGGAAAACCCTGATACCCCGACGTACCTCGGGCCATCTACTTGCGTAAATGAATGAATGATGATAAAAAAAGGACTGTTTCTTGTAAAAGTTTAATTAAAATTGTAATGTTTTAGGGATGTTCTTGATGTACAAAATAATATAAGTGTTTTAGATATTGTAGTAATCTTGTTTTGGTGTTAGGATTACCTGGAGATTGGCTACTGTAACAGATTTATAATTATGTGTCGTAGTGTGGGAGAGTTAGACGCCATTAAACTGTTACGACAAAATCGATCGAGATATTTTATTACTATTTCAAAGTCCTATTTGACTATTTTATTTAATATGGGAACGTTGTGTAACATTCTCATTCAACCTTAGTTTAGAACCTACTTAGAACATACATGCTTGCCGCCGCGTATGTCACTATAAGTCAGCGGACTGGGATGAGATGCGTTCCTTCTTTTCATCCTACCGATGGAGGCAGGTTTGTTTCTTGACGGATGATCCCACCGTCATTGCTGTATTCTGTCACTGATGTAGTGCTTCAGGGCATGGAACTATTTGTTCCTTTTACATTAATTCCCTTCGGTAGCAGATCCAAGCACTGGTTCGACAGGTCTTGCAAAAATATAATTTGCCTCTAGGTCCCTTAAAAGAGCTATTGCTAGGGTAAAATCGGAGCACATCAGCCATGATTGGTGAGAGACGGGTAAGACTTCCTTCTGGAACTCGTGCATTCTGGTCTCTTGCCAAGGCTGTCCAGGGGAATTTCTATGTCCAATCCCTTCCACCCCTGCAGATGGGAGATAATTCGTTGGCTTATTATGCCAAGGAGAAAGTCGATCCTAGGCGAACTCTTTGGATCCAACTCGACTTTGGATGATGGGGGAAACGTACCGCCAGAATATGGCGGGCATGTGGGCATGTGGGCGGGATTAGTCCCAAACGTAAAGCCAACCATACCGCGGTGCCAGAACTATTTGCCGGAAATCCGGTTCACACAAAAATCAAAAGTCAAATTGGCCTCAAAGAAGCTCTATGTCCTGAACAGATCGAGTCAGTATTTCTCTCCGGCTCACCGCCTTCAGCTCTATAAGGCGCAAGTCCGGCCACATATGCAATACTGTTCTCATCTTTATCCAGGTGCACCTCAGTAGGGTGCGGGGTCCGGAACCTCCATGTGGTGCACCCTGGGCAACGGGAACGGCAGCGCCTCCCTCCCTAAGTGGGGGAGGCGCTGCCGCCTACGGCCAATTCCGGCCGAGGTGGGAACGTGAGGTCCGAGGGTGGTTCGGTTGCTTTCCGCGTGTCCCTTTGTTTGGCAAAGGGCATAGTGAAGAGCAAGCTAGGGGGCGGACGAGTTCTCTGCCGCTGGCTTTGTCCAGAGGTGGTGGACACTGGTCTGATGCAGACCACCGTCCGGCCAAGTCGTAACCCTACTGGCAATGGTCAGGAATGACGGCTCTTCGAGGGCTACGAGGAAGGCAACCTCTATAAAAAATCTTGGAGCGGACGGACCCGGTCTGGTGCAGAGCCCGTCCGGCCCAGCCGTAATCCTGAATGGACATTACCGGTGGCTCTTCGGAACCGCGAGGACGTAAACCTCTATAAAAAAACCCTAAGCCCACGCTCTGACCCCTGGCAAGGGGCTGAATCGCTGGAGGGAGTCCAGTGCCGAAGGCAACGTCGAAGGACGTTAAACTTACACAATAATGACATGGGTAAAAAGATGAATAAATCTACCCAGGAGGGTCCCGGACGCATAGTGTCTGGGGAGTCCCTCCCGGAGCCAAGCGGCTCCGGCAGCTCCCAAACGTACTCTGGGGGGAGCAACCAATGTCGAACCTGCCTGTCGCCGAGCAGTAAATCCGGCGACCAAATTGACGCGAAGGACGCGAAAAGCTTTGGGGAAGTGTCGACAGACACTGCCTCAGAAAGGAGCGGTGCGAGTATCCCTATGGTGTCCAGTACCTTTTCCGCTTCAGAGTACCAACGGGGTACTCAAAAGCGGAAAAGGCGCCAGCTACGCTCGAGTGGTAAGAGCCAGTTTGAGTCGGCCTCGAGCGAAGACGCTACGGTACCCAAAGTCGGCACAAGCAGCAGAGGCGCTCGCGGCGGAGGTCAACTCCCTATAACTGGACTGGTCACCAAAAAGGTGAAGGAGACTGGCGGATATGCGTCATCAAAGAGGGCCGAGGATGAGCCCCTGCTTAGGGCCCTCCTTGAGAAGGTCGCATCCGACAAGCCGACCACCTCTGATTTGAGGAGTGAAGGTGGGGGTGCTGACCTCGAGGAGCTACGCCGCAAAGTCGGCAATCCCGTGGACCGGATTGAGGAGGCAATCGGCGTAGCCGATTGCTTGCTTCAGACGTTCCGGGTAACCGGGGGTCCCGAACAAGAGGCCCTCATAACAGTCGTGCGCTCCATAGTCGAGGCGGGAAGACTCCTCGTGGCCGAGAATAAGGCCCACGAAAGGGAGAAAGCCCGCCTCGAGGCGGATCTCGTCAAAAGTCGTGCCCACGCTGGTGCTACACCAGCGTCTTCGGTACCGTTGGCGACGTCCGGCCGCGGCCGTATGGAGCCGGACTTAGTCCGACTCATGGCGGAGATGGATTGGAATTGGTATTGGTATTGGTTGTGGGCTTCGGTTTCCGCATTTAGACTCAGAGTGGTCCTTTATGCGTCGAGGATTGTTTGACTAGGTGAGCCAGCCAAGCTCCTTCCAGAAGCGCAGAAGCCTCCTGGGGCGTTCACAGGCTTCTAGGAGCGACTTTATATCGGGAATGATACTTGCCCGTTGTGTGGCCACTCCCTCGCATTCCAGGATTACGTGGACGGCCGTTTCTTCAGCTTGATGATGAATAGTTGTCGGTTCAGGGCTAGATGCCCTGTAATAGTTCCGACAACCATTCTGATTTCCAGTCTGCTAAAACTGATCAACCTGCAGGTGAGTCGTGGTGTGACTTTATTCAGCACCAGTTTGGACTGTCTGCAGCCGGGTGAGTTTTTCCTCCGGTCCGGTTGTGTTGTTGTTGACACCTCCGGTTGTGTGATTCATAGGTCCGTTGCCTGACCCAGCATCGTATTTGGTTAAACGATAGGGGCAGGAGTGTGGTTGGGCCGGAAGTCGGGGTTGCCGAGCCCCTCCTTGCCAACTCATCTGCGGCATCGTTCCCGTGTGAGGCGGAGATGGAGGAGCGACTAATGAGGCGCATATCTGCAGTAGAGAGTGCCCATTGTCGCCTACCTCTGGCTGGACAAGGGGACCTGGGGGGACATACGTGGCAGCTGCTAAGGCGGGCTTAACAGCCCAGCCAGCAGCTAGGGTGGCTGGGCCATCATCAGCGCCCCAGAAGGCAAAAAGGGGAAAGGAAAGAGGAAGGTGACCCGAATCCTAGCCCCAGTCTCGGCCTCGACTGACACCGCACAGCGCCCGTTGGAGCGGGGCTGGACGGTAGCCGGGGATTATAAAAAAAGGTGGAAGGCCGCCAAAAATTGGCCAAAAAGGAGAGAAAGGACGCCGCCGCCGTGACGGGATTGCCGAGGAGGCTCCGCGCCCCTCGCTTCTCGGCTGTTATTACTCTGATGGCGGAGGCAGCGGAGAGGGGCGTGGGGTACGCCGAGGTCTTGGCGAAAGTCAAGGCCAACGTGAACCTCAAAGCCGACGCCCTAGCGGCGAAGCTAAGGGAGTCACTGGATGCAGCTGATGTCCGAGTGTCCAGGCCCACTAAATGTGCCGAAATCAGAATTACGGGCTTGGTCGACTCTGTCACGGCGGACGAGCTTAGACTCGCCGTGGCGGAGACTGGATGCTGCCCTCTGGACAGTGTGAAGGCTGGAGCAATACGCTTTGGCCCCGGTGGACAGGGGGCAGCGGTTGTCTGCTGCCCCATCGCGGCGGCCCAGAAGGTCGCCGATGGACGAAGCCTCCTGGTTGGAGGTTTCCTGAGGGCGCAGGCACGACTCCTGCAGGCCCGACCGGCAAGGTGTTTCCGGTGCCTATCGGTGGGGCACGTAGGGCTGCACTGTACGGCGGAGGT